CGACACGCACACACACACACACACACACACACACACACACACACACACACACACACACACACACACACACACACACACACACACACAAACACACAAACATGCACGCACAGCTGACGCAGGTGCGTTACCGTTGCTGTCTTTCTTGAGCATCTTTGCAGTGCCAAAGTCTGTGATCTTGATGTGCATGTTCTCGTCCAGCAGCACATTCTCAGGCTTCAAATCACTGCACGCGCACAAGAGAAAAGATAGGGAGGGGGGAGGCGAAAGAGGAATGGGTGAGTGAACAGTCAAGACGCAAAACGAAGGCACACACTGAAGTCAACACGACGTGCATCTGTTCCTTCTTCAACACACACACACACACACAGACAGACGGACCGGTGGATGATGTCGTGTGCGTGCATGTGTTCGAGGGCGAGGACCATCTCTGCGACGTAAAAGCGCGTGCACTTCTCGTCAAAGGAGCCCAACTTCTGCAGCCAGTCAAGCAGCTCCCCGTTCTTGCAAAACTCAATCACAAAGTCTGTGGCACGCCAGTGAGCGAGTGAGAGTGGGCGAGTAAGAGCGAGAACGTGTGTGAGGGAGTGAGAGAGTGGGCGAGCAAATGAATGAGTCAGGAATGAAGGTGTGGGTGAGTGAGGGAGCACACATGCGCGCGCGCGTGAACTGGATGTACGTGGATCCTGCGCCCGCGTTCCCATCAACTGAACGTGCAATGCTCATGATCTGTGACTTACAAAGGCGTGCTGGGTCTTGGAATGTGTAGTACAGTTGCACAATAAACGGACTGCGAAGCGCATTGAACACCTGCACAGCGCACACGACAAGACAGCAAAGCCAATCACGAGGGTGCGCGCACATATGGGTGTGACTGTGAGTTCATGTCCGAGTCGCTTTCGACCAAAGAATGGACCAAGCGCACTCAGCACACACACACACACACACACACACACACACACACACACACACACACACACACACACACACACACACACACACAGGGGCTGGGTGACCGATGCCATGCAACTTACATCGCGTTCGGTGAGGACGTATTTCTCCTTGCGCTCCTTCTGAATGTGTGCCTTGTCCAGGATTTTGACTGGAAACGCGTGTGTTTGCGCGTGCGTACGTGTGTGCGTGTGCGAGTGAGTCTGCGAGTGACAAGAGCGAGAGCTTATCACAGCAACAAGAAGAATACCATCATTACACCGCCAAGCACAACCAACAACAATAATAGCGGCCTCACTCGCAAACTCGCGGCCTGTTTCCTTCTCTGTGCAGAGGAACACCTGCGAAACAAAGGCCACAATGAACAGCAGAGTGGAGGGATGATAAACGGAGGCTTGCCACCGCAGCACAGCAACAGGAGTGGAAGCAATTTGACAGGCCGCACGAGGGAGATTCGAAGCATACCGAAGAATAGGAGCCTTGGCCAAGCCGCTTGGAGATGATAAAGTCGTCTGGACGACGCTTGCGGGGCTGTGGTCAAAGGGCAAATGAATGGATGGGCGATAGGGTGAACCACAAGCGACAAAACAGCAACACAGTCACATGGGTGTGCTCATAGCAGGTACCGCCCACCCACCTACACCTGAAAACACAGAGGCAGAGAGAGAGAGAGAGAGAGAGAGAGAGAGAGAGAGAGAGAGAGAGAGAGAGA